AATTTCGCAAAGTCCAACATATATTTCTCACCTACTATAGCTTCTGCACGGAAAACACAACTCTTTTCAATAGTCGGCATATCCTCTATCGTTGATCCGGGTATGTATCTTGGATGCCATTAATCGTCGGTCGAAATAAGAATCTGCCGTTTGGGTTTCTTTGTGATAAGGTTGTTGCAAGAGTGCGAAATTGGACTAAGAATTTGATTAGCTATGGGAGCCGTGCTATTTATATTAAAGCCGTCGGTCAAGCGATTCCAACATATGATATGGGCTGCTTTTTGATCCCGGATGGGGTTCTTTCAGACATCACTGGATCTTACGATCATATTTCTGGACTGGTGACACCTCTTCTCGGGGATTGCCTTTAGTTGCATGGCAAACATTGTGTCAATTGAAGCATTTGGGAGGACTAGGCTTTCATCATTTCCGCTCCTTTAATGTGGCGATGTTGGGTAAGCAACTGTGGTGGATAATCTAGCACCCTAATAGTTTGGTGGCTCATGTTTGCTGCGAAATATTTTCCGATAACTCATATTCTTCAAGCTTCAATTGGTTATCATCCATCTTTTTCTTAGAGGAGCTTATTTACAGAAATCCAACATTTGTGGACAAATTTTCACTAGAGGTGGTATTGATAGTACCACTCCAATGCATCAAGCACGATGGGGAGGGACCGATCCTGTCGACCTTCAAGCATCATACGTTGATAACATCGTGCAATCCATAGTTTGTGCTGCTTTTATGCTTCCTGTTGCCCCACGATGGAATACCCATCTTCTTCATTCAACAAGTTTTCACTGTTGAAGATGCCCAGACCATTCTTAATTTTTCATATATCGTCGGTCCATCATGATGAGCTGTTGTGGAATGGACATTCATCGGGAAATTATTTAGTGCGATCGGGATATAAATGGCTAGTTCGGCAGATCATGCCCGACGCTCATGCATCGCGATTGTGGATCTACCTTTCGAGGTTACCTACGTTGCCACATGTCCGTATGTTTGGGTGGCCAGCTGCTCATGAGGCCCTTCTAGTGGGTTGTCGACTAGCTCACGTCGGACCTGTTGATGTTCAGTGCTGTTTGTGTGGTTGGAGCACATGATGTTGTCGATCCCAGTACATCGATTTATCACTCTTCTGGTCCTGCTTTGGAAGATTTGGCACTGGCGAAACTTGCTCTTTCATGAAGGTCGTTTGCTCCCAGGTTGGCAGCTGTTGATCTTGACTGATGCTCTTCAATCCGTTTATAACACTGCTATTACATCTCTTGCACCATCAACAGCTTGCATGGCTGCAGGTCTAGTTATTCCACGTTTCCTAAAACCATGCCGGTGTACATTCATTATCAATGTTGACGGGGCTTGTCCACGACCACCTGCTACGTCAGCGATTGGTGTCATTCTTCGTGATAGTGCTGATGGGGTTGTTGTTGGTCGCGCTATTCCAGTTCCGCAATCACGTCATTCTGGCATCGTCGAAGCGTTGGCCATCTCCAATGGTATTTGTCTAGCTGTGGAGATGGGTTTAGCAGCGGTTGTGGTTGAGAGTGGCTCCCTCACTACGGTACAACATCTTGAAAACATGTCCGATGATCGGTCGGTGTTTGAATATTATATTGTTAATACAATTAGTTAATATTTGTTATTCTGTTAGGATTCTAGTTAGTTGGTTAGCATATTATTAGTGGGCTATATAAGCCTAGCAATGTAGTGAATTAAATCAAGCATTTTTGTAATTCATTTTCACATTTTAGTAAATCAAAGCCTCCTCTTTCACAGCTTCCCATCTTCATTGATGTCGTTTACATTCATCACCACCGGTAATTTCCGGCCATCATGGCGCCTTTCTCACATGGTATCATTCGCCAACAGTTCTAATGCTGTTTTTCTTTCGCTGCTACCTTTTGGATCTGTCGCCGATTTTACCGTCGTCGGTTATTTGCGCTTCCTCAGTCGATGATCGGCTTCTTCAAGCACGAGTTGTGTTGTCACGTGACGATTGAGTTCCTTCCTCTCAAGTCGTTGCTGCCACAACGAGTTATTATTCCACTATTGTTGTTGCTAAAGAATTTGTTGATCGTTACAAATCTGATGGTTCACTACATCTACAGTGCGATTTGTTGCTAATTCATCGTCGTTCCTTTGTTTTGTTTTTTCTGGCTGATATTGCATTTCTGAGGTTTGAAATCCTCGATTTGTTTCTCTGATGAGATCTATACCTTTATGGTTATTCTTAGTGTTGTTGCACTTTGATTCTTCGTTTTGATTTTTAGAGTGTGGTTCTTGGATCTGTAATCTGGTTTGTGTAGGGCATTTATGTTGATGTTTTTCCCCCTATGGTTTTGGTTCAATCTGGCTTGCTTAAGTTTGAGAGATACCTCAACAATTATATTGTCATTTACCTTTTAATTTGAGATCGACACATGGTTGTGATTCAGATTAGTTCTCTTGTTTCTATAGTTTAGCGTGCATGCACTGTATCGATGATCATGATGCATCATATCTCAGATTCATGGTTGCATGCAACTGCTGTTGCTTGGCTTCTGCTGAATTTGTTGTCCTGCTGCTCTTGAAAGCTGGCGCTCTGTTATGGCGGCTTCTTGGATTTCTTACTGATGTGTATCAATCTGAATGCCTAGAAACTGGTCAAAGAAATGTTTGAATGAGTAACTCTGAAGTTTACTGCTTAGCTTTTCCCTCTACGTGTCCCTATGTTGATGTTGTATTTCTCTTGTTTCAATTTCGTTTGGTGTGGACTGTCTCCTCTTGGTTGTGGTTCAATCAAACTTGAACTTGTTGGCGGCTATCAGATGAACGTAACCACTGGATGAGATCGATCTAGTTTGATGTTTCTCTTTAATGTTTTGGTTGATGACCGGTTTTGCTGATGGTTTTCAATGGAGATTATAGCAGATGTCAATTTTTTTGTTTTAGTTGTTGTTTTAGTTAATATTTGGTCCCTTTAGTTCACTACTGCTCGTGTTATTCATTCGTATTGTGGTTTAGCTGCTACAAATTGTTGATGGTTTGATTCTAAATTGACATTGAGTGGTTAATACTCCTGAATTGAGTTGGTGCATCTACTGTTTTGTTAGATATGCTGGATTGTGCAATTTTCATGGTTTGTTGCTAGTTCTGTGGGTATGAACAAAATGAAAGAAAAGAAAAGAACAACAGGAAAGGAAAGGAAAGAAAGGTGAATAAAGTAGAACAAAAGGAGGTATTGCACTTTCGATTCTCATCTAAAATAGAATGGAAGGAGGGATCGCATTTTAAATTATTGTCTAAAGTAGAACGGAAGGAGGCGTCGCACTTTTGATTCTCGTCTAAAGTAGAACGGAATGAGACATCGCACTTTCGATTCTCGTCTAAAGTAGAACGGAATGAGACATCGCACTTTCGATTCTCGATTACAAAATGATGAATGAAGAGAAAGTATATTTCTTTGTCAAGAACCAACTCAAGTGTTCATTTTTTTCATCAAGAAGGTTGAAAAAGTCGGATGAATGTTAGGATATTAGAATGTTAATACAATTAGTTAATATTTGTTATTCTGTTAGGATTCTAGTTAGTTGGTTAGCATATTATTAGTGGGCTATATAAACCTACCGATGTAGTGAATTAAATCAAACATTTTTGTAATTCATTTTCACATTTTAGTAAAACAAAGCCGCCTCTTTCACAGCTTCCTATTTTCATTGTTGTCGTTTACATTCATCACCACGGGTAATTTCCGGCCACCATGGCACCTTTCTCACAGTCGGCTGTCCGATTTTACCTTCTCGAAGCCAAACAACTTCTTGATTATCATCCTAACATTACCGTCCAATTCATTCGAAGGGAGGCCAATGGAGCGGTTCATGCATTAGCCAAGTATGCTTCTATTTTTGGTGTCTCTTTTACGTTTTCAATATGTAACTTGACTCGACTCGAAAAAATTTAGTCAACTCTGAGTTATAAAATATAACTCGTCTCGATCGAACACTCACCTCTATCTTCACCTAATAAGGAGCAAGAGTTTGTGTCAATTAATCCATAAATTCTAAAGGAAGGTGGCCATGTTTAAAAAAACCACTTAAAACACAAATAACCATTCAATTGAAATAAAAAATATGTACGGATTTTAATAAGCAGACCCTTTCTTTAAGATAGTCGTGCAACAGTTAAAAAATAAATAACTAATAAATTCACTGTATTTGAACCACTTCTCATATATAAACCATGAAGTATCCAAGATTGAAGACTGACGTACCAAATACCATATAGTTCTGTATGAACACCGGACCAACCTCTGGGCTTAGAAAAAAGACGGCAAAACTTGAGATCCAAGGAACTGATCAACATAAGTATCAAATCCATCGGCCACCATAAACAGCCATTAGGACTAAAGAGCAACCAAGTATCAACTCACATTCCGAAATTTGAAAACTGGAAGACTGCATTCGGTGCCGCAGAACACGAAAATGTAAGTTATAGTAATAAAAAGTAGATTAAGCCACACAAATCCTATGCATTTTATGTCAATGCATCTCATTCATGTACCTAGAGAACCAAAGTAGCTGGTTTGCAATTCCAGGAAGGATTTCTCAGTACCTAAAGAATTTGCATTCATTTCTGCAAGCTGCTTTAAAACATATTTGAATACAAGTGATCGGGTTAGTCCCTCCCTCCATCGGCTGCTACTGCCTCGCCTGTTTTGTGCACGATGGACATTTGTAAAACTTAATCAGTTTGGCCTCAGCTGGTGTTATCTTCACACACTTTCCATGGTATCACCGTTCACAGTTGTCGCAGCCGATCCAAAACTCATCAGAATTGTATCCTCCCCCACAGCTGCCACAAAATGTATCACCCTGCTCTTCTTCATCCTCCTCATAATTTTCATCGGCTAACTTAGGATTGCTTCTTGGCCGTTCATCAGCCAAGCAAAAGAAAGAAGAAACAGTGATACAAAGTTACATATTTACACAGGAATTATGCATGGACATGTACAGAAATTATACAAAGCATAATGGAAATCTCCATATAATTTTCCCAAGAACAATGATACATATACCAAGAAAGTTGCAATCTTGTATGTGAAAAATCCCACAAGCATTGGAATCAATTGGCAGCAGTCGACAATTTAGCAGCTAAATTAGTTTGATTTGATAATAAAAAATATTATTATCAGCTAGCATAAAACACACAATACCCATCTATCCACTAGTATTACCAACACCACCCGCACCCTTTACTTCGGGGGCGCGTGAAGCTCTACTTTTAAGCCAGTCAAGCATTTCCCCAAACACCAACTCGACGCTTTCCTCCGGCTCCCCAACAAGTTGATGCCACATCCCAGGATGGATCTTCAATGTCTTGTCAGCGCTGCAGGCGCGTTGATAAAGTTCCTCCACGCAAGCTGGATCGCACACTACGTCATCGCCGCCGTGCACGATAAGCAGTGGAACATCCACTTCCTCAAACCTCCCTTGCAAGTCATTGCAGATTCGAACCAGCTCGTAAGCCGTGGCGGCGCGTGGCCGAGCTACTGTTCTTCTAGGACTGGCTATCGCTAACTTCCTCTTCCATTGTTCCTTAAACGAAACATCCGGTATAGACCCGCGCGTCGGAATTACTTTCCAGGTAGGGATAAGTTTGGCCACTATGAATAGAAAATGCTCCAACGGCCATGGTGGCTTGAATTTAGCACTTATCCCGCACATTGCGCCGTTGAGAATCAATCCATCCCAAGCGCCTTTTTGTCGGAGAGATATATAGAGCGCGATGGCTCCGCCGAGAGATTCTGAGTACAAAAACGCAGGCAAATCTGGCGCGTAGCGAGCACGGAAGGAGTCAAAGAACTGAATACAATCGTCCACAACGCCATCGATGTTCGGAATGTGAGCATCGAGTCCGTCAAGGCCTTCGGAGAATCCATGGCCCTGGTGATCGATCGCACACGTGGCAAATCCCGATTTGGCGAAAAATACGGAGGTGAGTTGGAGGAACCAGCTAGACTCGCCGGTGAATCCGTGGACAACGGCGACGATGCCGAGGGCGGGAGTATCCAGTGGAGCCCACCACTGAGTGAAAAGCTTGAGGCCGCGAGCGTTGGTGATGAACTCGGACGAGTGACTCACTGAATGATGGGCATAGAACTCGTACGGGGTTAAGGTTCCGAAGGGGCTCTCCTCGTTGGCTTCGGTTACCGGATGCCGCGCCATCTTTTTGCTAAAATGCGCCGTAGGTGAAGGATAAGAGATTTTTCCTTTGCGACAAGTCTCAGTTGAGTCGGAGGATATTTATTATCGTGAAGTGGGAAGCCTAATCCGCTGCTCTGTGTAGTATGATCTTATCTTGAAACCTATAAACATGAGCATGACATGTAAGCAATTGCATTTTGATTCTTGATTATTTGCAATACAAAAGTACTATAATTATTTTTCCTTTCCATTTTAAAAAGTTGGTAATTATCGATTATTTATAAACAGATATTTGAATAATTAATTTTTTTTATTAATATGTGATAAGTACATAATACTATTTGTTTATAAATAATTCTCTATCATCTAATATTAAACGTTCGTATCTCTTATATTTTTTGTACACAAACTCTAATTTCAAAGAATAATAATAATTCATTTATCACCAAAGTATTTTGTTCACACAAAATATTCTTTTTTTTGTTACAATTTTAAAAATTTAAATTTTGAAAAATTTATACATTTTATATAATAAAATATTAATTAAAATAGATGCATGAAATCCAATTTATTTTAATTTTAATTTTTCAACTATTAAACCCAGTGATATATAATATTTGAATTTTTTATTAACATTTGAATAAATTTTGAATGTTGAAATTATTATTATTAGGAGGACTTTACTTAAATATTATTCCAGTTCAAATTATATCATTAACAAAATTATTCTAATTTGAATCATACATTAAAAGAATAATGACACCGGCGATCAATTAGAAATACATTACAAAAGTATAATTGGAGTATTAATTCAATTATATCTTAACTAAACGTAAACTTAAAAATTTAAATTAAGATATCATATAAATTTAAAACTCATAAATTAAAATTTTAAATTAAGAATATATCGATAATATTTGCATTCGATGAAAATCATGATTCGCTATGTCTCAACTTTGTTGTTGAAACAAAATCTCATTGATGACATGCGGAGTTTTTTTTTATTATACCGAAGATATCCCAAAATTTTTTATCTATAGGCACATAAAATAAAATATTAATTTTTTAGAAATATTATATTTAAGCACTTATGTTTGTAGAATATATTCGTGTGAATAGGTTAAAGAGCTTTGAACATATAACTATTTTTAATTACCTTAAATTATTAAAAATGAAAAATTATAATATAATATTTATTTAAAAAAATAAAAATTATAATGATGGATTTGTTAAAATTTAAAATTTCTAAAAAATGATATTTTTAAAAATAAGATCATTCAAAGGGTTCTGATCAGAATATTATTAAAAGCGAGGAAGTTGGGTGATAGTTGAATTGCATTCAATTATATTTGTTGAGTAAATTGAATGTATAAATTAAAATAAAATGTAAAAGCGTGCATTTCATTTAAGTTTTGGAAAGAGGAGTAGTTTGAAATTAATTTTCATTTAAGATGGGTTGTTGGAATGCCAAACTCACCTTTCTTGTTATTATTATTATTATTAGGGTAAATTATGCGTTTAATACTTCAATTATCAGTTTTGATTCGTTTTAGTACTTAAACTTTTAATTTTTTCCAAACCATACGTAAAATTTAATTTTTTTTTTATTTTAGTACATCTACTCAAAATTTAACGTTAAGCTTTGAAAAATTTTGAATGTTCATGTACTAAAATAAATCAAAATTGATTGTTTAAGTATTAAATGCATCAAGTGTTTAACCGTGGAAGTACTAAAATGAAACAAAAACTAAACGTTAATTATGATTTTAAAAAATAAAACTTTAGATATTAAAACGGAGAAAAAATAACAGTTTAAGTATTAAATGCATAAACTTTATTATTATTATTATTATTATTATTATTATTATTATTATTATTATTATTATTATTATTATTATTATTATTATTATTATTATTATTATTATCATCATGTCATCGAAAGGTCCAATAAGAACACGTCGCCATATCCTATCAATAATAGTCGATATGATCTAGAAAAAAATTAAATAAAATATATTCAAGTTATTTTAGAGATTGAATTTAACTACCGATTCAAGTAAAGATTAAATGCACTCGTTTTGTTAATCATTATATTGTGTTAATCATTTTATTATGATAAACATTATTATTATTATTCCTAAATTCATTATACAACATGTATTACAGTTCACTATATCTTGGATATAACATTTGTAGACACTCATTTTTGTCTAGGTCTACAAAAATATTATTATTATTATTATTATTATTATTATTATTGTTGTTGTTGTTGTTGTTGTTGTTATTTACATTTTTGTAGGCTCGATATTGGAGCTCATTTATAACAACATCAACCCAGTCGACCCAACCCAAGAGAGCCTAACGACCCGAGGCCCAGGATCCAATCCAGACCCGGATGACCCAATACCAGGCCCAAATTGTTGACCCAGAACATAGCTAGGGTTTCCCCTCGTTTTCCATGCGTCGCAACTCCATCCAACCATTGGATATGGAACCAAATCAATAGTTCAGATCAAAGGTCATTTAGGGTCTCTAAAACCCTAACCCTCGTAGACTTCCACCGCCTGAACGTTGTTGTTGCTGTTATCGATCGTCTCTGATAAGTGCTTAATTTAGTTAATATTTTGTTTTTAAATTACTCCTTAATCATTAGCTTTTGTGGCTTAATTATCCGTTTTCATTCATTTTCTATACATGACGTTATATTCTGGAAATTGCACTAAAATGACAGAATTCTGCAAAAAAAATAATTAATTTTCGGAATCAAAGTTGGATTAGTGGGCATGAATTCGAACATGAAACATCCGACGAGGCGATCACATCAACACCTTCTAGAAGATCCAGTTAGCGTTTCTAGAAGTACGAATGGATTGGCCGCACGTTTCTGGAATTGAGATTTGGATTAAACTCAAGTTTTAGGATAATATGTTAAACATTATATCTTTGTTTTAGATATTTTAGTTTAAATAGCTTTTAGTATTTTAATTAAGTTTTAGGATATTATTTTTATATTTTATCTTTGTTTTAGGTATTTTAGTTTAAAGAGGTTTTAGTATTTTAATTAGGATTTAGGATATTATTTTAAATATTATTTTTGTTTTAGGTGTTTTAGTTTAAATAGTTTTAAGTGTTTTAATTAGTATTTAAGATGTTTTAGCTTGTTTTTAGGAATTTGAAGGCTATAAATACCCTCTAAGGGTGAGCCTAAAAACATATCTCTCTCATATGAGAATTAAATCTATATTTTCCCTCTAGTTTTCTCTATTTTGCGCCAACTTCTCCTATTTTCTTTTAGAATTTTGTTTTCAACAATTGCTAAGTATGACTCTGGTCATGCTTAGCTAATTTTCTTTCAAGTCGAAGACTAAAGCTAAGGCTCAATTCCAAAAGTGAGAATTGTAAGATACTTAAATCACTTCGGATTTTCTCTCTGTTTTCTAAGCTTACTTTTTAAATCAAAACGATTTCGACATTGGTCCGAATATTGTTATGGTTAACGTTTGAAGAAGGATTTTCTTTTTGAAGCATATTTAACTTCCCGAGAACACACTTAGCAAAATTGTTTGCTAAAAGGAAACTAAGATCGGAATCGGTTATTGTTGAAACGACACAATTCAAGTTGGTAGCGAAGAAATGTCCTTGTAACCGACGTGAATCTTGAAGTAAAAATATGTTTCGATGATCCTAGGAATTTGAGGCAAAGCTGAAGTCTGAGGCAGCTTTCACAATAAGTTTTCTTTATCCCAATTTAGTTATTTTATTTAATTGTGTATTTAATTTTTATTTGATTATACTTCTTTAAACAATTTAAAACCCCATTTTTATATTTATTACTATTAATAGTTATTATTTTATTATTTCTCTTTTATTTATTATTATATATTTTATTTAATTAAATCTTTTAACCTTTACTTGGAATTTATCTTTTCCTAAAATCAAGAAACTGTTTTACTAAATCACAAATACCATAGTCCCTGTGGATCGACCCTGATTCTCTATACTACCTTTTCCTTTCTATTTAATTAAGAAGCCAGAATTTTTTTGATAACAAAACAACATGTATCAAATTGGTGACGTTGTCAGGGACTAATGGCAAGTACTGATTTATTTTTCTAGTTTTTGATTTATGACCAGAAGAAACCCATGTGAATTAGTAGATCTAGATCCAGAGATCGAAGCACGAGCACGAAGAATCCACGCACAAAAGCTTCGAGAAAAGAGAAAAAGACAAGAAAAACAAGAGCAGAGTTCAGAAGAATAATCAAATCCAGAGACAGACTCTGAAGCATACGCATACAACATCCCGATTGCAGAAGAATAACAAACAATTCAAGAGCTAGCCATAGCTCCTTTCACTCTCACACCATTATGCATCAATTTTCCTAGTGGCGGGACTCCGTTTCAATTAAAGACGGGACTTATTCATCTTCTTCCCACTTTCCACGGCTTTCTCATTGAAGATCCGTACAAACACTTGTTGGAATTCCATATGGTTTGCACTAGCATGAAACCACAGGGTGTTACTGAAGATCAAATTAAATTGAGAGGTTTCTTTCTCTTTAGCCAACTTGGCTAAAGAATTGTTATTTTATTTACCTCCAAATTCAGTTAATTCATGGGCTGACTTGAATCAAATTTTTATTGACAGGTTCTTTCCAGCGGCTAAAGCAAGCGAGTTACGAAGGAGCATTATTTACATTCATCAAAAGAGCGAAGAAAGTCTTTATGACTATTGGGAGCAATTTAAAAAGCTTTGTGCACGTTGTCCGCAATACGGATTAAGTGAGCAAACATTAATTCAATATTTTTATAAAGGCCTTTTACCAATGGATATGAAAATAGTGGATGTTGCCAGTGGAAGAGCATTAGTTAACATGACCCCAACAACAACAAGGGAATTAATTTCAACCATGGCAACCAACTCTCAATAGTTTTCAAGTGAACCCAACCGACGGGTTCACGAGATAAGTACTTTTTCTCTTGAGAATAAGTTAGACAAATTAACTGAAGTAGTTAATTCACTTGTTGCAGGAAAATCTAGAGCAACAAGAGCATGT